CCACAAGCTATGTCATAAAATATGCATGATTGCTGATGAAAGATATTTGCCAGATACGACAGCATGACATAAGGTGAGATATGCTCCTGGATATTTTGCTTTTAGATTTTAGTATTTTGCACGTGATATTGTCTCACTTACGGTACTGCAACAGAAAGTGAATCGTTGAGTTATATGTTTGATGCGTAAATGTCAAAACGTAATGGCTGCTCACAGTTTATTCACAAGTAGTCTTTCATGTATACGTCATTTCGACTCTCAAATTGAGTCATATTTTGAGAAATGTCATGTTTTTCATATTCATTTTTCAGATTGTAACACACATAGCACCTCGACCTCCAGACCAGGTACGTGACATCTATAAATTGTAAGTAATTGAACGATGTTTCATAAACGGTCACATAACTATACTGAACTATCAGTTTGATATCAAATTTGTTTTGAACGGTGGTTGAATTGTTTAAGGCTCAGTAACTAACCATGCACAATTCTGCTATTTAGTCATGGAAATATCCAAAGATTGTGGTGTTTGTATCTCAGATTGAACATGGTTACGATCCAAAATGTCATTCATCTTTTCTCCATATTGTTTCTGCCGTGGTTTGTCTGGTAAATTCTAACAAATGATAATGTATTTTGCATAATGTGATATACTGACTCTTACTGATTTTCCCTTTATGTTTCAGGTGAAGGAACGACAACACCCAAGCCCACACCGGCAGGTAAGCTTCCCTCCACATCTATGTATGCTCTATGACTTTGTGTACAGTTATAATTTGTCTCAGACACATCGTGACTATCAAACACCACCCACCAAAGACATTTACATGAACTGTTCTCTTCCATGGAAATATGTTTAAATTTTGCTTGTTCACATGACCAAACTACATACAACATTGGACAAAACCAGACAAAGCATATAATATTGCACTGGACAGCTGATTCTCCTATAATATCAATTCTACCGACACGGAGAATGATGGCAATTTTGCTTGACAATGACATTAGAACCTATGTCGAAACGTCGCCTCCACAGAATAAAAGAAAGTGTCTATCCATAAAAATTGTGATCATGCTTCATCAACTCAACTTCTAAAATGCCCATCAAAGAAGTTTGCCCACACGCTTTGTGACTATAGACGTTTTACCTGTATACATACATGTACGATATTTGGTGATTGTATAACCAAGGATAAAGGGGATTTTGTCTTCTAAAAATCTTAAATGTGACCTGATTTTAGGTAACTGTTTTGTTTTTCATTTATTGCAGAGGATGATAATACCTTAGCTATTGTGTTGGGAGTTCTTATACCTTGCGTAGTAGCTATTGGACTACTTGGAGTGTTTGGATTATGGAGAAAAAGGAAACTCATAAATAGGTAATCCACTAATAACTGTCTTCCGCGTAATTCAGTGTAGGTTCGTGAGGGTTATCCCCGTGTAAACTGACATTGCTTTTGACACAATTTTCTGAAGAAATACGCAACTTTGTTTGAAAAACATTCCCTATAAAACAGGATACAGAACCTCTTTGACGAGACAAACTGTTTTCTTTAGACAATACTTGCAAGTCAAGCCTATACAGCTACGATTACCCTGGTAAGATTATTCTGAAAATAACAAACATGAAATAATGAACTACAATGGTTATTTGTTTGCTTGTCATCAGGTCACCAGAAGGAGGAGTTCCCACTGAAGCAGGCATACCAATGACATCAGGCAATACCTGACAAAGGTATGAGAAGCTGAATCTGAAGAAAGGAGGCTAAATAGATATTTGAATTTGTCTGCATTATAAATTTTTGAAAGGATGGTTCCTGTAGATGTTTCCCTGATGCGATTAGCATGTGGAATTGCATGGTTTATCATGTCCAATAATGTAATGCCTCTGTAATGTGTATTTCTGATGAGTGCATGACTTTCTAATTACGTCAGTATTTCCAGGTTAATGTATCAGAGTACATGGGTCACATTAGTTATTTTAGTATTTCCCAATAATACCACTGCCTCTCGTCTTGCCGACCCGTTCTTCAAAAGTACATTGTGTTACCCATTGACGTTCTGTTTAGTCTTCTTCTGCTCTTATGGGCTCAGTTTATAAACCAATTTTCAATTTCTGAGTGAAAGGTCCTTTTATCAGTGAGGATTCTGTGTATCTACAAGGTTTGTTTCTTGCTTCTATAGAGGCTCGTCTCTTTTATATCATGTTTACACGACTGTAACACACTAAACCCTGGCTCGGAGTAAAGCATTATTCGGTAAAAATGACGACAACTTACCGAGTCTTACCACCCTATCAGTCCTATTTGTCCGGGACGACGTGCTGGGGACCGTCTCCGTGGTGTAGTGGTTTGAGCATCCGCCCGGAGTTATAATATAGTTTATATTGAATTATAAATGAAAAGCAGAAATAGTTCCCCTAAAGAAATTCCTAGTCACTTTGCTGTGACAAGAAATTACAATTACTGTTCTGATAGACACATGGGCACACCAGTCTTTACTGTAAGGGGGCGTCCTACCTTTTTGGGTAATGCTCTCTGAAAACCCAGGTGTTATATTTGTAGCTTGACACATCAATGATGCCCTAATTTGACATTTACTGTATGTTTCCATGTGCTTCTAGCACATAACTTGCCTTTGCATGTGTTTGTGACTGGTGCCACCTGTGGGGCAGCATATGCTTATCTTTTGGCGAACACCTGGTATCATCACTATTTTATAGTGATTCATGAACGCATGCTCATGATGTACCTGGAATCAGTCTGCTTTCTGCAAAGATGTCTTAAGAAAATGGATTTTTTTGTGTTGGATGAAATCCGGGAATCCTAACAACTAGACCACATTGGAAGCTGATAGACAGCCGTAATGTTGAAGGAAATGTTTTGTTATCCATTTGGTCTATTATTTTTTTTACCTTTCTGTGCCATGTGTGTAACAAAACTGGTAATACGATTTTACACAATTTCTTTTGTCCTGGTTTTCGTCCGGATGTTTCAAATTGAAACGTGTCAGGCAGTATGGGGAACTAAACAATCACGTCTTTGACGGCGATACAAGCTAGCTATTTATGGAGACCTTCAGTCGTGTCACTGTTGATTGAGGTTGTAACCTGCCTAAAACAACCTCTGGTGACCAGATTTTGAAAACAATTATGTGCGCTTCGGCAATTGCATGCAACGTTATGGACACCAACTTGCTCCACTTTGTGAAGACCCTTTCCTTTATGCACATATACAAGAAGCTCTGCTCGGCTGGCAAAGTCAAAAGAAGGTATCTGAGAAGTTTAGATTGAGCTTCAGGTATATCTATGATCTATGCTTTCCTTCAAAAGTCATCAGATATTCCCTTCTGCTGATCCACCTGAAGAAGAAGTACAGGAATCCAGTGAGACCGCCTCATCTGTTTCATGTTTAACCCTATCCATAAAGATTCAGAGTGCAATTTCCACAAGACTGTGTGACAAGAGGGCTAACTTCAACTTTCCAAATAGAACACTTTCCCAGTTTTGTTGACCAATTTTCTTACAGCTCCGAGCATGCTCATTCTGCGATTTTTCGAAGAGCGTCAACATATCACTGACAAGAATCCTAAAAACCTAAGAATGTCCTATGTTATTCCCTATTCCTAGTTTAATTTACGTTCCAATGGGTTTCTTTTTTCAGGTGAACAAATGATATATGCCTTTGCATGTGTTTGTGACCGGTGTCACCGGGGGTCAGGACACACCCGGTGTCATCTCTATATGTTACTAGTGATTCATACACACATGCGCTCATGCTATAGTCGTACAGTCGACCCTTGTTAATAAGGACAGAGTTTTGTCGCTTTGATTAGATCAAAGTCATCACCAAAGTTGGCTTATACAAAGTAGTTCAGTCTAAAATTTCCCCAGATCATTAGTGAATTGGGAGTTCAACAGTTCAAATCTAATGTTTATCACCCTGAGTAACAGGGTGCATTGGTCCAATATATGCGTTATCAAGTATGTTGATTTCAATAAGAGTTTCGCAATGTCTATAGGTTTTTCCTCATTAGTAGAGATGAGAGGTTGCACGAAGCATGTTTTCAGAAACACTGGCATCATGTTTGACCTTCTGGACTTTCATCGCTTACGCTGACATTTCCTTATTGTGTTCGATCATCAGTGATGAACATGGAAACTCCATGGATTCGCCGGTTAATAATGTCTGTGTTTGACCCTGACACGACTGACCAAGCATCTTGTCATCATCCATCTCACACAAAGGTGAAAATTGAGGGATGTCAACACGACGGCGTCTTTTATGTGTATAACTTCTAAATGCCTTTCAAAGACGGATGCCCGATCCCGTCGGTCGCCTCATACAACCAGCATGGGTTGCTGAAGTACCAGTTCTACACCAGATCTTCAAGGGTCAAGTTTAACTTCACTTTTGAGAACCTGCGGACTTTCGTGTTGGTGTTGACTGCCACTTCTGAGTTTGCTTATTTTTTTCTTAATTAGACCAACCTACAGTTTGACAAGCAGCAAATGTGGCTAATGGTCTTTGTATTTCAACTTGTATGGCTAAATTATACAGTGTGTGTGTGTGTGTGTGCGTGCGTGCGTGCGTGCGTGCGTGTGTTTTCAAGCAATACCCTTGACATATTATACCAGCATTAGGAATCTACGATCTCACGCCTAAACCACAAGGCTCCTCATCTCCTATCTAGTCTGTATATAACAATCATCAGTACGGGTGTCAACCTCAATATACAAACATTATGATACCTCGCATACTCAAATCATCAAAGTCATTCATTTTGTAGTCATCTTCCTGCAGAGGTAAATGGAAGTCACAGATCTTCCCACATGATCCCACAATATAGCATTGCGTCTTCTCTGCACACGCACGTACAACTAGTCTTAGATTTAGTCTTGTTGATGTTTTCTGTGCATGCAGCTTTCAGGATTATGATGCAATATGTTTGCAACAGTGTAACAGAGGAATCTATATATTCCTTGGGTGTATAATGGGAGCTGTGTTTTGTGTTTACTGGTTTAAGGTTCAGTGTGTGCATTAATCATGTTTTGTCTGTGCCCAATAAGTGAGGAACTATTTCATTTAATGCTTTTCAATGACATGTTACTGTAGAATGAAATGTGGAATATACTGTAGTGATCACCGTGTACACTACGTTATTAGATCACCGTGGAGTAAGCCGTAGCTCGCACCCTGCAAGTATTAACGCCCAAATCTACGGTTTTAGGTAGACCCCTGAAACAGGCAATGCATACTTACAAGATGGCTTCCACGAACTCGCTGTGGCGATCGGCTGTCTCCGGCAGTTTCCGTCGGGTCCTCCAACTTCCGGTTGACAGCTCCGATCACCACATCCCTCCCTGTTTTATAGGCTCCTTCCCGCGGAACAACGCCATCACACCCCCCCGTGTTAACTTTTCCCCTTGGGGGGGTCTCCTTATGAATGTCCACCCGGAGAAACCACTTCCTGTTTCCCCAGGTTCAAGGGTCCGTGCCTTTATCATATTGTTCACATGAGCGGGTGATCCCCAGCTCCCTCCTCGGAATCGAACCCGCCCTTTTGGGTGGAACCAACAGTTCATCACATCCTTATCCCCAACCCACCCCTGCGTTAGGGTGGGACCAACTGTCCCTTGCACAATATACCCGGGCTCCACCTCCTATGGAATATGGCACACAGCTCTTCACATGCCCCCTGTCCTACCTTCCCATTGGGGAGGAACCCATAGTTCTTCACACTTGATTTCCCCCTTCATCCCCTCCTTAGGGTGAAACCTCTCACCTCATCATTCTCCTACCTACCCCACTCCCCCGTGGGGTGGGCTCTCTGCCCCTCTACATGGCAAACAACGGAGCTGCGTTCGCGGTTGTAGCCACAAGCAGCTCCTCAGTACTCATCCCCCTCTTCCCAGCCACCATGTCCCCAATCAGGCACAGCAGTGCCGGGGAGTTGACTCGATACCCCTTCGGTGGCATGTATGGGGAGTCCGTTTCCAACAGCAGCCGGTCACCCGGCACTGCTCTCAGACCAGCCACTTGGTCTGACTTGAACCCTTGCACCCGGCCAGTGAAGCCAAAGTAGGCCCGGGGGAATGCCTTCAACCATTCTTGCACTGTTTCCTCTCCACCCGCGAAACAGTGCACGTGCACCGGCTGTTGTGAAGGTAAGATCCCCTTCAAGATTTGTATTGCCTGGGCGTGGGTTGCCCCCGCCTCCTCATCTCCCGTGGGTCCCCTCACGTGCAATATTACCACCCGCCCGGCTGGGACATGGGGTAGTAGCTCCTTCAGGGCGGATTCCTGGGCTCTCCACTCCCACGCCGCGAATGAGTGATCCAACCCGACCTCCCCCACTAGGCATCGGGCGTCTTTCCAAAAACCAAGAATCTGACGGAACACTTTGTCCGTTAAGCTTGCAGCCTTCTTTGTGTGGATTCCGACCGCGGTGATGTATCTTGGGTCATTGTTGATTCGCTGAGGATACGTAGGGGGGTCGCAGTATACTTCAACCCCCCAGACGGGCAGCTCTCCAAATGGGTGACTCACCTCTGGTGCGGATGCCAATAGTTCGGGAGTGGTCCCCTGGGGCGCTCTCCCAAACGTGCCCGCCCATGTCCGGTCCAGGTGGAAGTGGGCGTCGAACAGATGATCGAGACCCCCTGGACCCTGGAGCGTGCCTTCTTCTACCAACCCCTCAGCGGCAAGCTCCTCCTCCCATAATGTCTCCACTTCCTGGCTTCCTCCAGCGGCCCCCATGTCCGCGGACTCATCTTCTTCCCCTACTCGGACCTCCTCGTCCTCCGGCAACCACATAGCCTCCGCTTGTCCCACATCCATCAGTTCCCGGTCCCATTCCTGGGGAGCCTTGACCCGCGCAGTCCAGCGGGTATGTTGGGGCGCTGCAACCAGGAACAAGCGAAACTCCCTCCTCTTGTCCTGAGGCACAAAATTCAGGAGATGAAGCAGCACCCTCCATTGCTTCAGGCACGCCGGGGAATTCAGGGGCCACAGGCTGAATTTGGTTGGGATGCGCCATCCCTGGGCCGTACACAAATGCCTCAGTCCAGCTATTGAGTTCTCTTGGAGAGAGCAGTCCGGGGACAATTGAATGTTCCGATTACAAAACTCGTGTAACCCCTCCAGGGTTGCGCCCGGACCCAGAATCCAGGACGCCAGCTGCCGTAGGGCCGTCACTAATTTGTCCAGCACATCTCGTTCGGGAGGGTTATCCTGGGGGTACCCAGCCCGGAAATAGCGAGGTAGGTATGCAAAAAAGGCATGGTCCTGCAGTTTATGGGTCACTGTCCCACACCCCTCTACGGAACAACGGGATCCTCGACCCCTCCACCTCCTGGGCTCACCCCTCGACACCACCGCGGGTGTCGACTCCAAGACCCCCCTTGGTCCTGGATGGGGGCCCCTCCTGTCTCTGGTCTGCTCCAGGAACCGTCCCCTTCCGGCCCCTGGTCGCCCCAAGTAGTCCCACACCACGGGGTATCTCTCCTCCTCCTTCTTTGTCCTTTTAGGCCCCCAGGGTCCTCCCTGAGGAAGGCCTGGTCTGGTCACTGTTGAACTCGGCCTCTTCGGTGGTGGTACCTCTCTCCTCCGGCATGGTGGCGATCTCCTCCGGGGTCTGATGACGACCTGCACCGGCATCCCCTCCACAGTGGGCCGGACCACCACCCGCTCCCCATAACTCCGTTGTCTACTTCGCGTAGGGCGCTCCTGTCTCACCTCCACCTCTCTCCTCTCCACCTCTCTTCTCTCCACCTCTCTGCTCTCCACCTCTCTCTCTACCTCTCTCCTCCCGTCCTCGGCGCGGTTCGTTGGTTCCGCCCGACAAGCATTCCCTAATGTCTGCACCAGGAGTAGGCCTCTCCCGCCACTCCAAAACCTTCCTCTCTGGCCTTTCACGATCCATGTTGGTTGAGTCTGATGCGGATTCCTGTAAACCAAAAACCAACCTCTGATACGATTGTCAATCCCCACCTCTCACCTCTAACCACCCCGAAAGATCAAAACGCCTCTGCACCACCCAAGGGTCCCACTGCTCCTGATCCGCAGATGGGACAGTGGTATTCGTCCATGGCCTCCGCCATGGTCTCTGTCACTCCTACACAAGCTCCATGGAACCACTCATCGCAGTCATCACAGGCAATCATGAAACCTCCGTCATCCAGCTGGCGACAGTGGCAGTAGGCGGGCCCGGTTTCCTCCCCGTCCTCCGCCTGTGTCGTGAGATCCCACTCCCCCTCTAGAGCGGGGACCTCCTCCCGTTTCTTCCTTCTCTCCATCCAGCGAGGCACAACCCGATCCCGGCACAACTTCATCCGGTCATGATGGGCCGTGAACTTTCTCCGCTGCCCCGCCACCACAAACAGGGTAGAAGAGAGCTTTTTCTCAATAAGGTAAGGTCCCTTCCACACGGGGCACAGCTTTTTGCACCGCCCGGGTGTAGCCCCTAAGTCTAACACATACACAGGTTGTCCTTGGTCCAAACTCTGAGACCGAGCACGCAGATCGTAATCCCTCTTCATCCTTTCTACTGACGTTTGCAGATTATTCCGAGCTGCTGCATGAGCACTCTCCATTGCTGCTCGAAGCCCAGCCACGTACTCACTGGTGTCACCCTCTTGCGGGGAAGTTTCCGGCCCCCCGAACATCAAGTCAGCTGGAACATTTACTTCCCGGCCGAGCATCAGGCGGTTGGCCGTGTAGCCAGTATGGCGGTTCACTGCGGACCTCATGGCTCCCGCCAGCTGGGGCAAGTATTCATCCCACATGGTTTGAGACTTGGATATATAACAGCGGATCATCTGCATCAGTGTCCGGTTGAATCTCTCTACCTGTCCATTCGAAGAGGGACGGTAGGGGGTCGTCCTCGTCTTTGTTATCTGCAACAGCTGGCAGATTTCATGGAACAATCTCGAAATTCCTGTCTTGGTCCGTATGGATTTGAAGTGGAAACCCAAACCGTGCAAAGAATTCATTCACCGCTGCCCTTGCTGTCACTTCTGCCTTTTGGCTCGGGAGAGGCACACACTCCACCGATTTGGTGAACTGGTCTGCTTGTGGGCAGTGGGCCAATAAAGTCCAGGTGCACCCTCTCCATTGGGGCTCCCGCATGGAATGGGGTCATCCTTGACCGGGCCTTCCGTGATGGTTTCTTATTCTGGTTGCAAGCGGAGCATTCTGACACGTAGTCCCTGGTGTCTTGCCCGCATCGGTACCAATGGTACCTCTCCTTTATTCTCTCCTTAGTCTTAGTCACTCCCAGGTGTCCGCTTGATGGGATATCATGCATTTGATATAGCACCATTTGCTGTAGAGTCTTGGGTATCAGCAGTTTTTCAGTGTCATTCACTGCTGGAATTCCCTTCCTCACCAGTACCCCATCCTCGTTTCGTTCGAATAGTTCCCTATCCACCCAATAGGACTTGGCGGCGAGGCTAGACAAATATAGTTCTGAGTCTGATGGTACTTCACCCCCGTCCACCCATCTACGCAGGTGTCTGAGATCGCTATCCTCCTCTTGAGCGACCTTCAGTGCAGTCAGGGAGCCGTCCCAAGAGTCCCTGTCCCCCTTCTGTGGGCACTCTGGTACTGTGAGAGTCCTTACTGAGAAGGTTGTCTCAGACCTACACACTTCAAGGGTATGCGCCTGATTCTCTGTCCGACTCCCGCCCTCTCCACCGGCATCCTCCCCGGTGGGGACCTCTGTCCGGTGGTTGCTCTCTTCCACCACTGTCAAAGCCCTGACCATCCTAGGTCGGCCCGCCAATGGGATCACATAGTCTACCTCTTCATGGAACTGTCCCCACTGTTGGTGTGCCTTCTGGCAGTATCGGCACCCCCCACATGGGAGTTCCTGGAGCTCCACGAATCGCCGGTAGTTGTCACACTCCACTTCATCGGCCAACCGGGACAAGCCGTCCGCATTCTGGTGTTTGGCTCCTGGACGGTGCTCCACCCTTAAGTCGTATTGGCTCAGTTCCTCTAACCAGCGAGCAAGCTGCCCTTCAGGTGCCCTGAAATTCATTAGCCATCTTAAGCTGTTATGGTCCGTTCGTACCCGGAAATGTTTCCCTAGAAGATAGTGACGGTACTGCCTTGTGAAACGTACCACTGCCAATAGCTCCTTGCGGGTTGTGCAGTACCGCCGTTGTTCTGGAGTCAAGGCGAAGCTGCCGTAGCTGATCACTCGCTCCCGACCTTTTTGTATCTGCAGGAGTTCGGCCCCGATGGCCACGTCTGAGGCATCTGTGTCCAAGACGAACAAGTCCTCCTTGTTCGGCATGCCTAACACCGGTGTTGTCAACAACGCCTGCTTCAAGTCCAGGAAACCTTGCTCCAGCTCCTCTACCCACTCATATGTTTTTTTCCCCGTAATAGCGTACAAGGGTGCTGCCGTCTTGGCGTAGACTTTGATAAAACCCCGGTGGTAGTTGGCAAAACCCAGGAACCTTTCCACCTCGCGTGTAGTGGTTGGTCTGGGCCAGTTCTCTACCGGTCCCAGGCTAGTTGGGTTCACGCGGATCCCCTCGCCGCTGACTACCCTCCCAAGGAATTCAATCTCCCGTTGAAACAGCTCACATTTTCTGGGCTTCAGCTTCAAATTGTATTTCCGGAACCGCTGCAGAACTGCACGTAGGTTCTGGAAATGGTCCGGAACAGCCAGGCCAGTTACCACGGCATCATCCAAGAATGCGAGAGCAATCTCCCAGCTGAGACCCGCGAGTATAAGCAGTAGAGTAGAGCTACAACGAGAGATTGAATTCCTTGGGAGGCGTAAGTTTTTAGTTTGCTGTTATATTGGTCGGTTCTTGACAATTTTCACCCATGTGCCAATTTCACAGAAACGTGATTTTAATATTTTCTGAAAGCTCGTTCAATGGAGATTTATCTCGTGTAAATAGTTTTTCATGTACACGATCGCACATAGGTGTGCCATCGCGTTGAAACATGTCTACTTTCCTCCCACTGCTCGTCATAGACAAACAAACCTTCCTCATCGATCCGTTACGCGTACGAGAGACGCCTCTCAGAATCACGAGCAAAAGTAGTCAGTTTTTGACGACAAGTTTGACCTATGTGCCAATTTCACAGAAATATGATTTTAATATATTCTGAAAGCTCATCCAATGGAGATTTGCCTCGTGTAAATACCTTTTCATGTACACGAACGCACATAGGTGTGCCATCGCGTTGAAACATGTCTACTTTCCTCCCACTGCTCGTCATAGACAAACAAACCTTCCTCATCGATCCATTACGCGTACGAGAGACGCCTCTCAGAATCACGAGCAAAAGTAGTCAGTTTTTGACGACAAGTTTGACCTATGTGCCAATTTCACAAAAATATGATTTTAATATATTCTGAAAGCTCATTCAATGGAGATTTGCCTCGTGTATATACCTTTTCATGTACACGAACGCACATAGGTGTGCCATCGTGTTGAAACATGTCTACTTTCCTCCCACTGCTCGTCACAGACAAACAAACCTTCCTCATCGATCCGTTACGCGTACGAGAGACGCCTCTCAGAATCACGAGCAAAAGTAGTCAGTTTTTGACGACAAGTTTGACCTATGTGCCAATTTCACAGAAATATGATTTTAATATATTCTGAAAGCTCATTCAATGGAGATTTGCCTCGTGTATATACCTTTTCATGTACACGAACGCACATAGGTGTGCCATCGCGTTGAAACATGTCTGCTTTCCTCCCACTGCTCGTCACAGACAAACAAACCTTCCTCATAGATCCGTTACGCGTACGAGAGACGCCTCTCAGAATCACCAGTAAAAGAAGTCAGTTTTTTACAACAATTTTGATCTATGTGCAATATGCTGGCTCAATCAAGTGATACAACAAGTGGTAAGTAAAAATTCTGTGGACTACATTATCTATTTCCTAATGTTTTATATCATTGTCATCATAAACACATTTAGTATAGAAATACACATAACACAACAACAAAAAAGCGACATTTAACAGATGCGAAGACATCCTGAAATTCGACTAATAACTTAGCCAGTTCATTTTGGTCTGCTGGTCCTAGTTCACGTTTCGACCTGGTGAATAGTCCCTTCAGGTGGTCAGGAACTTGAGTCTCCAGATCGTCTTCTCCCACCCCCTCAGTGGAAGACGCCCTGCATTCAGGGTTCCCAGCGGCCTCGCTCCTCCCTCGGACGGGGTCTACTACTTCTACCTCGGACGCATTGCCGATGTGTTGTCCCTTGTGCAACTTCACTGTGTGGTCGGCCGTGTTCACCAGACACACCACTGGGGACTCTTGTCCCTTGTGTAAAGTCCTCGACATAAGAGCATATCGCTGCACTCCCTGCACTGGCTCTACTAAGTATTGGTTTAAGTTCCATCCGATACAGCAGGATACTCGGGTGGCAGTGTGAGGTGCTAGCGACAGTGTTTGAGCTACTGTCACCTTGCATACCCCAGACTTCTTGAGCTTCAATGTCATGGGAACCTCACATCCGCCGATGGTGATGGTTCTTTGCTGCACATTGATATTGGTACAATGTCTGTCTATAAAGTCCAGGCCCAGGATAAGTTGGTCATTTATCGGGGCTACCAACACTTCTTGTCGGTATGTCACTCCATTAATTCGAATACGGGCCACGCTGTTATCCACCCCTTCATTCTCATATCTCGACCTGCATTGTTCACTATCACCGGTCTGGATAGGGGCAACTTATCACACAGTTGCTCAAAGAAGATATCAGACACAATAGTGTTCTGAGCCGCTGTATCCACTACCGCCTGGGTCTCTGTTCCTTGGAAGGTCACCGGTATCAAGTATGAGGTTCCTTCATCCAGAGCATTAATGGTTACAATGGGCAATCCCGTCTCTCTATCCATCTCTCCGTCTTCCCCACCACCTGGCCATGTAGCACTCTCGTTAGTGCTACTCTGGTCTCTGCCGTCTGGTGGCCATGGCGGCAAACCCTGGTTATCTAGTCCAGAGTTGTTGTGAGGCGCAGTCTCCAACACTGCGCCCACCCGACAGTCTATGCTGTTATCTGGCAGCAAATGCGGCGAACCCTGAATATCTAACCCAGAGTTATTGTGAGGCACAGTCGCTGACACTGTACTCTCCCGACAGTCTATATCATTTGGGTTATCTGGCGGCCATGGCGGTAGACCCTCGATAGTCTCTTTAGCAAACAGGGGACGAGCATGCGGGTCTACAAACCCGTCCCTTGGCTGTTTAAAGGCTTCTCTGTGGATCCCATCGCAAAGGAGACACTCTTAGCTGTAGGTGCATTGCCTGCCAGTTTCGGGCAGGCTGCCTTGACATGGTTGAGGTCTCCACAATGAAAACAGCCCGACAACCTCCCTGGGCTGGGTGAGCGGGACCTCGACCTCATGTTTCCCAACTTCTTTACCGTTTCGGTGAGTTCTTGCACTGAACGTACTAGTTGTGTCATCTCCGACCTGATACCTTTGACCTCTTTCTGTACTGTTCCTAGGTCAGTCTCGATCAGGGTCACCCTTCTCGCCAGATCGGTGACTGCGGGTGAATTGCTTATTGGGTTCGCCTCTGTCTTCGAGGAGGCTCGCACTTCCCTCGGTTGCTCCTCGGTATCCATCACCGTCACTGCCCGCAACTCCCGCCGTGGCCTACTATATTGCAAGTGCGAGTTGTGCTGGTAGTGCCTCACTGCATCCATGGCCCTTTCCAGGGAAGCGGGTTTCAGATTGTAAACTAGGTTCCCGGCGTCCCGGTTCTCACAGCCCATGCAAAACCTTGTTATGGTCTCCTGCTCCACGAAGTCCTCTGGCAGACCTGGATATGCTCGTGACGAGGTTGCCACCAAACGTTTAGCCCAGGCCTCTAGTGTCTCCCCTGGCTCCTGTTTCAAGGACGGAAAACGCATTCTTGCCGCCTGCGCAGGTTCCACGATGCCAAACCTCTTTTGGAATTTCTTCATCATTTGCTCATATGACATGAACAGGTCCCTCATTTGACACGTGGTAAAGAAGGAACTCGCTTCCCCACGCATGCAAAAACATAACTGGAAGAGTTTGTCCTCATCCGTCCATCCCTCTCTGTCTGCCAGCTTCTTGAACTTGAGCTTGAATGGCGCCCACGCCTCCTTCCCATCGTAGCTAACCAGGGATGTGACAACGCGAGGTCCTGTATGGTCGTTGGCCCTTGGGCCTTGGTTCCGTCTACCCCTAGGTGGACCTTGATCTCTCTCCTCCTGTGGTTCTCGTCCCCTTACAGGCTGGGGCTCCTGCCGTCTGGGGTTTTGCGCGGAACCTGTCATTTCCCCGTGCTCCCCTTTCCGGGGCGTCTGCTCCTGTTTCATCTCCCGGTGGGGCAGACCCGCCTCTGGCTCCGGTGTCCCTGCCGGAGGTGTAGAAGCAGCTGACCTCTTGGCATTCTTCTCATCCACCATCTCGCTAACGTTGCCCATCTCATAGCGCTGCACATTAGTATGTCCCGCACCACTCTTCGGGCGGACATCAAGTGGTGTTGCTTTATCTCGATCTGGAGTGGTTGTCACTCCCCAGTGACCATCCTCCACTCGAATGGGTGTTATTGGCTCCAGCTTCAACTCTCGGTGTCCCCCAAATGGCATATTATCTCTCATAAACATGTCCTCTCTCACCTCCATGGGAGCACTATGTGAGGCCGTGTCATATGGCCAACCCCTAAGGTGTCCTTCCGGTGTCATGACCGGCATCCCGAAGCTGTCCATTCGACCTAACACCCTATCCAACATGTCTTCGGATTTTTTGTCCATCTCGGCCACTGTCCACAATATTTTTAAGGCATTATCCTCGTTTCGAGCGGCACTCCTCTGGTGTACTTCTTCCAGAGACTGGATCATTCCTTGTGCACTCCTCTCACTTCTAGCCGCACTCTTCTGGTTCACTCCCTCTAGGGCCCGTATCATTTTCTGCGCACTCTCCTCATTTCTAGCAGCACTCTTTTGGCCCACTCCTTCTAGGGCCCGTATCATTTTTTGCGCACTCTCCTCATTTCTAGCAGCACTCTTTTGGCTTATTCCCTCCAGGGTGAGCATCATCTGGCTCATCCACTGCCTGAGCTCATCCATTGGTACTCCCGTGCCCCGTCCGGGACCGTCAGCCCCTGTCTGGCCTTCCTCGGGGTGTCATTGTCGCTTCCGGAGTCGCAACCCTGAGTCGATCCCTCGATATTGAGCGCACTGGCCACCTCGTGGCTTTCCCCATGATCGTTCGGCGGTGGGGCCACTCCCTTCAATGCCCCATTGAGTGTAAATGAGAGTAATGACATGGCATCCTCGTCCATACGCAACTCCTCCATATTCTCCACCTCTTCCCTGGTGATGTTATATCCCTGGCTCCTGATTGACATGAGCCTATCTACCTGGTCTCTGGAGAGCCCAATATGTTTTAACTCTGTGGGGTTCACAAAGTTCACGTGTACTACTTTAGCAGCCATGATGAAAAGTCAACGCACAGAACGGTCCCCTCACTGTGTAGTATCTCAGATACGTGTCGCTATTGTCCCCTCTTGTAGAGATCGGTGATAGCAGAGCCCAAATCCCTTCCGAGGAGCGGTCAGAATGATAGGCAAATGTCCTATCCCACAGAGTAGTGGTTGAGATTGGGAATCAATGTCCCTATCCCACCGAGTAGCGGTTGGGCTTATGGATAAATGTCACTATCCCACCGAGTAGCGATTGAGATTATGGATAAATCTCACTATCCCACCGAGTAGCGGTTGAGATTATGAATCAATGTCACTATCCCACCGAATAGCAGTTGAGATTATGAATCAATGTCACTATCCCACCGAGTAGCGGTTGAGATTATGAATCAATGTCACTATCCCACCGAGTAGCGGTTGAGATTATGGATAAATGTCACTATCCCACCGAGTAGCAGTTGAGATTATGAATCAATGTCACTATCCCACCGAGTAGCGGTTGAGATTATGAATCAATGTCACTATCCCACCGTACTAGTACTGGTGGAGGGTGTGTTGAACAATTTACCCCCAATTACAGTGATACCCCTTTTTTAGCAGCAACAGATGCGTTATACACTATATATGTTCATTATCTGGTATTTTCCTGCATTCTTTGGTAGAAATGCATTGCTTTACGATATAGAGGACAATGTATAACCACCTGTATTTCCTACATATGTACCTGCAATATGACAGTTGTTTCGTGTTTTGACATTTGTTGCCGACAATCATTCTAGGCACTAATTGACAGTCTGCTGTCCGTTTTCTCTGTTTGCATTTACCAAATATTTTAGCAAACTTGTTCGTGTCCGAATTGTTAAAGGACACATAGGACAACATCAATTCCTGGATACAGGGCATATTGATGCTACACTGGGCCAAAGTTGTCGTCCCGCCACTTGGCCTGAATATGATCGTTGTCCTTATTCTTGTTATATCACATGTTTACACAAATCTCACTTGTCCATCATGGTTGATCTTTTCGGACACTTTATTTAACATAAGGACAATTAGTAGTCACTTACTTGTGTTAGAAATGACACTGCCTATGCAGTGTTTCTTGTATGCAAGCCATCAAACCTGTGTTCTGATTGGTTGAGAAAGGTCACATGACCTCCTGATGATGCCTATAAATACGATCACTGGTCAAGGCCTGACACTCGATTTGGATTCGCATTCGGATTCGATTCACTCGGGTCACTCGATTTAGATACAATAAGACTTTCGGTCTGATTAAAGGCTCCTGCTCTAGTTTTTACCTGGCACCTCTACTGACTTAGATTTATCATCATAACTGCTTCTAGGTATATATTTTAAGACAAATTACAATCAATTTAATAACTATATTACATACTCAGTAACATTTCTGCAAGATATTTGAGTTGAAATAACAAAATAACTATTTCCTTGGATATAGAACAAACTTTATGGATAACAACTTCTTTTTATTCGGATCTTGCTGAGGTTGGAGGATGACGAAGGTATCATCCACTTTGCGATACCAACACGTGGGTTTGAAGGGTGCAGTATCCAGTGCTTTATCTTCCAGGCCTTCTGCCTAGCCAATTATGTTAATTATGTTGTTTTCTTTGTTACATTGTTACATCCAGTATATATACACTTCCCCCTTCTTCATGTCCCATTATGCTTGACAACGGTACAAGAATCTGTATCGAAACGTCGCACTCACGAATAAAAAGAAGTTGTTATCCATAAAGTTTGTTCTATATTGTACTTCCCAACTTCTAAAATGCCACTGAAAGAAGTTATTTCCTTGGAGACTGAGCCTCGTCATTAGATATATAAATATATAGGCCGAGCAGTGTGTGATATTTATTGGCATCATTTATTTTATTGCATCGCTAACAAAATCCCATCTACATTCTTGCCATTGAAACAAAATTAAAACAAAGTTCGCATATATCACGGCAAAATTTGCTCTCTACTTCATCGTCTCCTTGTGTTATTTGTTTTCCCACGTGCACCCCAAGGGTGTTACAATATATACCTTCAAACTGAGATTTTATGACTGCTTCCTTCAATACTGGCGCTCCTCACTTGACTCTTCATCAAAATGTAAATATTATTCACAATTTAAATCTTTACTTAATGTGGAACACTACTTGTCCTGTGACCTCCTACCATATCTACGGAATGTCAAAACCATGTTCCGCTGTAACTTCTTTAGACTTGCAGTGGAAACCGGGCGCCACACAAATACACCTTATGATCAACGTCTCTGCCTCTACTGCCACTGGTCTTAACCATAGTTGGTCTAAACTATGCTGAAGACGAGTTCCATGTCCTACTAAATATTCTGAAATAAGAAAGAAGTGTTTCACATGCCATCAGACTCATCCTCCAACAATTGAAACCTTTGTGCATTAAATTACTTGTATTAACATTAAATATATGAAAACATTAAGTACATTCCTCTCCACTGTGTTAAAATTAAGAAGTAAACCCACCATTATGAAACAATTAATCTTGAATTTCATTCTTCACCCTGTATTCAGCATGTATGTATTATTTATTGTACTGTGTGCAATTGTCTGTCTCCAGTTCGCATTTAAGCTGACTCCCAATAGCACCAATGAAACACTCAAAACACGAGGCGGGTTGCTTGCTGCTTCTCCGGATCACGTGTAGACCTTTTTATTTTCAAAACAGTTTCCGCGTACAGACTGCGCATGTCCAGTTGTATGCAAATTGGGTTGACGCAAAACCATATAACCCAAAACGGAATGCGATTGATCAGGTCAAACACTACATTTATATTTGCATTTTGTTTGTATTATGGGCCAATGGCCTGCATTATTGATGTAAAATGTCTGTCTGTCTAGTCCATAATGGTTTGTTGTTGTCTGTTGTAACATATATACAAAACCAACAAAAGTATTAGTTACAAGATGCTCTTGACGACTGCCCACGATATTTGGCATTTATTATAAGTCCAATCAAATACAAATTTTGTTTGTTTTTTAGTATATTGATGTAAATGCTTTCCTGTGGTGTTACAGTGTGTGTTGTCTGTTTGCATTATATATAATCTGGAACACTATGAAAACGCAATTTAATTAAGAAATGATTTAATGGGAAACTTGAATAGAGACAGTTAACATTCCTTGTGTGATTTTCATTTGCATGTTTATCAAAAGAAATCTACCTGTATTGTGACGTTACATTTGATGACATAATGATTATTAACATACAGTTTACATTGTTTGCCATACACCATACATTAAAAAAAAGCATTAATATTAAGAGCAACGTGAAAATTGTGTTTTCAAAAGTTTTAGATATTTCCACTCTTTGCATTGTTTAATTTATCTGAATGTTTACCATGTGTTTACAATGGCTTAGTAGAATAGATGTTAGGCTCGTTTTAAAGTGGTTATTCTTACTTTTCTTTCGTTTTCCAAATAACAACTGTGAGATTTCATCTATCATTTTATGGCCAGGATTTATCAAATGCATCTGCATTAGGTATTCAGTTTCGAAGCCAACATTTTTTAAACTCCAAACAGACATGACACATGGGACATTCGGAATTTGAGATTGGATTGAGATTATTCTGTTTAGAAGGAATGAAATGACACGGAATGATTCCTGACAAAATAACGATAAAGATACAATATAATTGTAACTAATTCAGTGTTTGCTTTACGTTTTCTTTTCAGCTCCCTTTTCGTTTGTTATTCAAGGATAATTTAACTCAGATTTAATGTATTAAGGTGTTTGCCTCCACCAATGCTTTGTAACAGCTTGTAGAAATTAATTTGAAATAAAGACGACTTTGTTTACAAGTGTTCTATGTTAAAATTGAAATTCCTGTTCGCTTTGTATGTGAGTGTTTGTGCTGCGTGTGTGTGTGCGTGCGCGCCCGCGCTTGTGTGTCTGTGGGTGTGTGAGGGGGATGGGGTATGGTGGGGGTAGGGTGTTGTCGCATTTTGTCTTTTTGGCTGACGTAAGAGCTAATAATATTCTTATGTTTCCTTTCTTGTTTTGAATGAAAAACAACAACACTGCATATGTAATCACATATCACTTTATTTTAATCACGTGATGTAGATTAAAACCACTGTACTAGGTGCGGTGTACAGTCGCACACCGGGGTAAACGTTTCACTTTGGTTGTCCTTTCACACAGTATTGTGTTTGTCTGTGTATGAAGATGGAGGATGGAGGGACGTTTAGATATGTTCTCTCACATAAAGGTGGGATTTGTACTGTGGTTCTCTAAAGGAGGGGCTAAAGGTGACTCACGTGAGGTGAAATTGGGTTTAACGTCGTGCTTGAGAATATTTCGCTCATATGACGACGTGCATGCGTGTGTATGTGTATGTGCGGCTGCTTGTACTAGCCCAGACTGAAGCTGGTTTTATAGTGCTAGCCCACTGAGATACCATGCCGCAGTGAAGCATGAATACCCCACTCAGACACATTATACTGACTCCGAGCCGACCAGTCCTTGTTGTACCCATTAATGCCGAGCGCCTGGCACGGACCAACAAGTACCATATTTTAACATCTTTTGGTATGACGCGGTCGGGGATCGAACCCGCGACCTTCCGCTCTCCGGGCGGACGCTCTAACCACTACACCACGGAGGCGGTCGAGGGTCTAAAGATGGAGTGACGTGTAGATGTGGAACTGTTCACTCACATAAGGCTGCATCTGGTGCTAGGGTGCTGTGTAGAGGAGGCTGAAGGGTGGAGAGACGTGTAGATTTGGAACTGTTCCCTTAGAAGCCTCTCATAATCGTGTAGGGAAAACATATCTTCGTTGTTGATGGCCGCATAAGGAGACTCATGATCATTTGCGTCACTTGATAGTCTATCTCCTACCACAGTTAGGTATGTACCGCATTTGCTGAGAAAACAAGCATGATACAAATGGTTACATAAAAACACATTTACCGAATTCCATATGCATCACAATGTTGCTCAGGATGACAAATAGTGACTACAATGTGTTTCATGCATTTTTTCAAATACGATGGATACCTCATCGACTGAAGTCAGAAAGCCATATCTTCACTTCAGGTTTGACAAACATCCTGAAATCGTCTCTTTATCACATTAACAGCATGAAGTAGTCTATTTATCATATTTATATTATATTTATTATATTTTCATGTCACAATTGCCTCCTTTACAAAAGTCGTCAGCTGATTCGTATTCTCTATCACTACAGTTATCAGCAGCACAAAGTAGTTCCTCGTTCAAACTTAAACAAATCAAAAACACATACAGAATAAAGTCCGATATTTATCATTGATATTCCGTGTTTGGAAGAACAAGAATGTTACAAACATCATTTAAAGCTCTTTTGTGTTGCGCCAAAGGGAACGCGCATTAATTAATGTAAACAACACCGCGGCGATGACGGCAAGGATCAGTGGTCCGGCCTTCTTCGTGGGATGTTTGTCGCGCGACAATCAAACACTACGCTACAGACAGCAGGATATCAATGTTTTGTAGCATGAAAGGTAAAGGAAGCGTCCCACACAGTCATATATCGCTGCCATACCTGCTAAATGACTTTGAAACGCCTTCTCATTACGAGGCCTAATTGATCTTAATTGGTCTCACCAGTTGTCCCAATTTTGGCAGTGAGATACAACACCTGCATGGTCCAGTGCACAACAGACTGCCAAAAATGGGAAATCACCGTTTGCTGGATGCTGGAAACGTGTAAAAGAGATTGGATTTCGATGCACTGTGACATATCATGAAACAATTACGTCCTTTGAATAAATTATGTTTTAAAGAAACTTATTGAAATGGTTTTCATTATAACGATTATATACATACCTCACGGTATGACCATCTGTAATTAAACATTATCAATTAGCAAACTATCAACTCAAAAGATATATCAAAATATATATAAATGTGATATTTCTAAAACAAAACTATAATTTGTCATTGTATAATTGTTTAAGGTAATGGTAACGCTACATGTCGTGTTACAAGCAATGATTTTCACAACACCAATGCAGTTTGATTTCGCCGATATGTGTAGCATACCACTCCTGATAGAGTAACTGTTTGGTGAATCTCGTCAACTATTTAAATGGTCTAAGTTATTTGTAGGCGGTGGGGTTAGCTAGTGGTTAAAGCGTTCACTCGTCACGTCGAAGTCCATTTCTGCTGAAGCTGGAATATTCCTAAAAGCGGCGTAAAACTACACTCACTCACCCTAAGTTATTTTGTTCACTCACGTGCGTGAAATACGCATCATGACGGGAACCGCACGTAAAATTTCAAAATCATCATCACTAGACCAGTCTGACTGACTGAGTTTAGTTTTACACCGCTTTTAGCAATATTCCAGCAATATCACGGCAGGACCAGTCTGACGGTTACACTTAACCGCCAACTTCCTTGTTCATGTTTGTGAGTGCATGTTCATTATGTTTTCCGTTGTTCATCTGACTACATATGGAACATCACATGCCACACAGTCAGGTTTTATAAGTACAACTTCAATAAGGGAGATATCAGTACATACGTCGTGCATCCTTGCAGACAAGGACGGCAACTGCTGCAACTACAACTGAGACAGCAGTGAGGATGATGGAGTAAGCTGCAACAACAGGGACGATGTCGTCTACGTTGCCAAGTGGTACTGGAGACAAATATACTCTGTTTATGAAGATGATTAGTTGGTTGCTGTTTAACGCCGCACTCAGCAATATCCCAGCTATATGTAATTGGTGGTCTGTAAATAATCGAGTCTGGACCAGGCAATCCGGTGATCAACATCATGAGCATCGATCTATTCAATTGAGATACAATGACATGTGTCAACCAAGTCAGCAAGCCTCACCACCGAAACCTTTAATTGCCTCTTACGACAAGCATGGGTTACTGAAGACCACTTTTCATCCGGATCTTATGTGGGTTATTAACAATGAGAACTGCATCTGTACATGTACAAGTACGTTTTGCTATTGTGAGAACATTTAGTTTATGAGTTCTTGAAGGGTGAAAGACGAGCTTCAGTGTCGTAGGTTTGCAGTCAATACAGATTTAAAGACGTTTTTTGACCAGCTCGAAAGTTAATTTATTATTTATACGCAAAGACTATATTACAATTATGTATTGTTTGGTTATCATTTCCTTATTGCCAGGGGCGGTGGGGTAGCCCAGTGGTTAAAGCGTTGGCTCGTCACGCCGAAGACCCGGGTTCGAATCCCCACATGGGTACAATTTGTGAAGCCCATTTCTGGTGTCCCCCCGCCGTGAGGTAGCTGGAATATTGCTAAAAGCGGCGTAACACCAAACTCAGTCAGTCAGTCCTTATTGCCACATGACAACTCACCGTCTATTTCCTCATAGCTCCCATCTGTTTCCACCTCACGGATATTAACCACCACGCTGAAATTCAGACTTTAGAATTAATTTTAGTTCAGGTTATTGGTGTGGAAACATTTCCTGGATCGTGATGTACGTAATGGATGTTAAACTATGACTATATCTGGAGTATCTGCCATTCGTAATAACTCGTCCCTTTCCGTAACCTCTCGTAGCCATGTCCGGGAGAAATATTCCCTCTGCCAATCAGGATACGCGTATGTAGAGAAGAAATTGGGTCAAACTAGTTAGCTGAAATCATTTTCATTTTGGTTTGCATACTTTTTCCCCAGACACTTCAAGTATATTTTAATTATTGCATAGTCCTCCTACGTTTCCTGAATTTTAATAGCCAGGATATTTTAACATTATAAAGTATTTAAGCATGTTAAACACAACCTTGACTATTTCTTTCTCTCTGCGCTGTTGCGCTCGGACAGAGTCAAGTTCAGTAAAATGGCTACGAGAGGGGTACGAGTCTTCTTTCAGGTGACAGAAAGGAACGAGTAGTTACGAATGGAGTATCAATGCTTAACAATAAGGTATATAGAGAATACTACACGAGGTCTCATTACATACGAATTATACGAAACGAGTGTCCTTACTATGGTATCTGACCGAGCGAAAGCGAGGTCAGATAACACAGGAAGGTCACGAGTTTCGTATAATTCGTATGTAATGAGACATAGTGTGGTATTTTATTTATTACCCACGTCTTGCATGCATTAAATTGACAAAATAGCGTATTTTTGTTATGTTTTTGGTTTCAAACCGAAACCGGTTTCATAAAGAGGTTGCGGAAGAGTTTGTACTGTAGTATAATATTTGCATGACGTCACCCCGTAATGACGTCACTGCCTTGGTAACCGACGGCACGATGCATGTCAGTTGTCATCGCTTCGTACAGCCTTCTACAGTAAACTACTCCGTAGCACCTCGTTTCTTGGTTTCCAGTTGCTTCATTCGGCTAACATCACTGGTGGAAACATTGCGTTTATGTTTTTCGACGGATATAATGTCTCAGTTCGACTCACAATTAAACACCGACACGGCAACGTTCGCAATGTTTACATTCCCACAATGCATTGAAGTTGTAGAATGAATGAATTCACGTGTTTGTTATGAATGAAAAAATAGTTACGTCAGAATATGACCTAATTGAGAGGTCATCGGTTATCCAATCGAATCGTTAGAATCTCAGGTCAAGTCGTTACGACACAGGTCAACGCGATACGACACTCGTGTGACGTACGAGATTAGTATGCAACTACCCATACGCTGACCACGTGGGTAATAAACTATAATACACTTAAGAAGGTTATGTTGTACTTGCTATTTCTTAAAATGTACATGAAAACATTCCCGAATTTCATCCTGATCTTCCACTGATGAGGAAATGCACTGACAGTGAAACGTTACAGTTATCATTGGTACGAATTCTAAATCGAACTACAATTATTCGCAATAAATATATTACATGCCAATGATATGAAACGATAATTACCCAGCAGAATGTCTTTCTGAAATAGAATAGACAAGAAAACACAGACAAAGAAACGTATGAGAATAACGAGTAAGTGTTGAAACTGAACAGACTATGAATGTTTCATCCTGCTTCCTATTTCGTGAGTTGTCGTATTTACAGCATGAAATACGAAGACCATCAGTCATGTTTGCAGAAAGGGCAGAGAAAACTCCATATATTCTGTTCGGGAAGTAAATCATTCGAGTGTGGATTGTTTTGTTGGCTGTTTAACGCCGGACTCCAGCAATATTCCAGCTATATGACGGCGGTCTGTAAATAATCGAGTCTGGACCACATAATGCAGTGATCAACAGCATGAACATCGATCTGCGCAACTGGAAACCGATAACAAGTGTCAACCATGCAAGCGATCCTGAGAACCCGATCCCGTTAGTCGCCTCTTACGACAAGCATGGGTTGTTGAAGATCAATTCTAACCCGGATCTTCACAGGCCCACTCAAGTGAGAGGTGTATGGACCTGTACCCATGCAGTTCACATGGCTCCTTTCTAATTCCTCACATTACATGCATGGTATTTTCGTGATATCAAATGACAGTGATACTGTACCAATCTCGTATACTGAAACTGAAACGTTTTAGTTTTCATGGATTTCCAGTTGCCTCATACACTTACGACGGGGTTGAAGCTGAATATGACTTTCATTGTCCTCCATACTTCGTACACCAGATCTGAAACGTAGATAACGTTCAATAACAGCTGACTGAGTCCTGGGCCCACTTGCACAAAGCGATCTTAGCGCTACAATGATTGTAACTCCTATTCTCCAAAATAGGCTTAAGATAGTCGTAGCGCTAAGATCGCTTTGTGCAAGTGGGCCCAGATTAATATATTTTAACTGTAATATCTAAGTCACTTAATTCATGAATCATCGCTTTACCTACTGCAGATACAGATGCCATACTACAGACCATAGTAGGAACAGTCAGTATGGTTTTAGGTCGCTTTCAGCAATATTCCAGCTATAGTAAAGGTGAGGTGAAATTGGATGTAACGTCGTACTTGAGAATATTTTGCTCATATGACGACGTGCATGCGTGTGTATGTGTATGTGCGGCTGCCTTTACTAGCCCAGACTACAGCTGGTTTTATAGTGCTAGCCCACTGAGATACCATGTCGCAGTGAAGCATGAATACCCCACTCATTTTAGTGACTCAGGGCCGACCAGTCCTTGATGTACCCATTAATGCCGAGCGCCAGGCAGGGACCAACAAGTACCATATTTTAACGTCTTTTGGTGTGACGCGGTCGGGGATCGAACGCAGCAATGGTAAAACAGCAATGGGCTTTACACAAGCTTCATATACCAACAGTGTACGTACCTGTGCTGACGATCTCCTGAAAGGTAAACGAAACCCAATTATGCAGCAAATGTAAATCTTCGACAGCATCAACATCGAAGCAATAATATTAGTCATAAAATATTACCATCAATTTTGAAAAGAAATAAACTGAAATGAACTACAGTATACATTATAACATATTTATTATTCATTTTTATAATACCTTTCTTCACTCTTTTACAAACACATATCACACCGACAGCAGTGATGATGATGATCAGGACAGAGGAGACAACGGCTACAGGGACAGCGACGCCGACGGTGGGGGGTCTAGGTTCGAAACCATCTAGAAAAATGATGCAGATGAACTCAAAAGGAACATTGGCAAGCTGGCTTTTGGATTGCAATGAGCTATGGTTTAGTGCGGCTCCCACTGCCACATCCCAAAGAGTTGGTTTAACGGAGCGGTAGGCTAATGGTTAAAGCTTTCGCTCAGTTTTTTTTCAGCAGGTGTCTTCGTGGGTAAGTTTAGTTTTAGGAAATTGGAAAATGTATGGCATCCCTGGCATCTAATTTAGTCTTTTTGTTGCCTTATGTCGTCAGGATATGTATGAGGACTTTGAATGGATAGGTATGGGTTGCTACCAACGATACCAGTAAAGAAATAGAATACTATTCCATTCATGGTCATGCATTATAAAAACATCTTTTATACATTGCAAATCCGTTATTAAAGGAATAGTTGACATCCTCAAGAAAGCTTTTTACGAACTCTCAATCAGAAACCATGATACTTCTAAAGTTGCCTGTATTGCCAGGGCACCTAGACTGATGCATTGTGTGTAGTTTGATGTTTCCAGGTTATGTAGCATAATTACAATACAATCTTACGTTGAATATCCGACCCGTGAAGATGCGGGCTAGAATTGATCTTCAGTAACCCATGCTTGTCGTAAAAGGCGACTAACGGGATCAGGCGGTCAGGCTCGCTGACTTGGTTGACACATGTCATCGTATCCCAATTGCGCACAGCGATGCTCATGCTGTTGATCACTGGATTGTCTGGTCCAGACTCGATTATTTACAGACCGCCGCCATATAGCTGGAATATTGCTGAGTGCGGCGTGAAACTAAACTCACCCACTCACTTACGTTGACGTTGAGTCAGGTGTCGTGATGCACTCCCATGTGTGTTGTTGACGTGACACGTGTACAGTCCAGACACAGATACGTCTACAGCTGGTATAGACAACACAGCCTCCCCCTGTCCTGTAATCACCGTCTGTCTGGATGTGTTCCACCAGGTTACAGTGCAGGCAGGGTTACAGTCAGCAGAACATCTCACTTTTAGTGGGTCACCTTCTGATGCATCTTGGTTACCGCTAAACAGCAACGTGTCTGGTCCATCTGAAAAGGACAAAGAATGTGATGTATTTTTCTGTCATAAAGTATACCTTGTCATTGTTTAGCTATACGATATCTAGTAACTGTGATGTTGTCGTCTTCCAAAGGTTAGAATACTCGCCCCGAGCAACCTTGCTGGTCATGCGGGACGACTTGATGGACCGTGTTGTTAGATGGTCAAGTCTTCTGATTTGGTTCGTAACCATATTATACCAATGGTTCATTTCTTTGTAAACAGACCATAAAATATCACAGTGTACCCTTTCGTCTTTTTGGTTCTCTACAAGGTTGTGTCATATCTCCTATTTTATATATTAATAGTATTATATATTACTAATGGAATTAACAACTCTGATAACTGTTTTATCGTGAACGTTTCAGAATATTGCAGTTTCTCATCCGTTGTCTTGATGGAAAGCGTGGAGTGGTATATAAATGTCTGCACACCACCCTACGGACAAACTGTTTACATATCAACATTTGCTAAATTTCTATTTGTCATTATTTCCCGCATGATAGTGACATATTTCATTGAAATAGGATGGCAAGCTAGAGTAAGATATCATTTAAAGGATCCAACATTCTACACCTTCTCTTAGGTTACTTGTTCAACACAACATTTTCACTTCGCTGACACCAACCATTATTCTTAAAAGTGTGGACCAAGTTCTCCATGTCACAAAACATTTAACTCGTATCAGAGTGAGTGACTGAGTGAGTTATTATTTAACGTCACCTCGGCAATATTTCAGCCATATCGTGACGAGAACAATTAATTGGTATACATAGTAAGTAATAGTAAATTATAAAAACCAGTCTACGAAGGAAAGTAAAATAACTCGATTATCACAGAGACGAATTTAAAACTAGTAATTAAATCTAAAACAGTTTAACTATAGATGACAATACAACATAAAAACGGGCAATAGATCGCCAACAAATGAAGGTAGGACACCATAGTAGGGACTTATAGTGCCTTATAGTGCCTTTGCTACCTGCATAGACCCTAGCTGGATTTACAGCATTCCGTCAGCAGCTGGCGATTGTAGGAAATATTTAGCCAAACTTTAAATGAAGATAGATTAATGGATTAGTGGCACTCTTTGCCCTTCCCCAGCCAACAAGTGTTTTACATCTGGATTCTATAACATGATAAATGAGGATAAAACTTTATGGTAGCGCTCATCGCTATCGTAATCAGTCCCCGCAACGACATCCGTGTAAAAGTGAGTGAGTGAGTTGGGTTCTACGCCGCTTTTAGCAATATTCCAGCAATATCACGGCGGGGGACACCAGAAATGGGCTCCACACATTGTACCCATGTGGGGAATCGAACCTTTGCCCTGACGAGCGAACGCTTTAACCACTAGGCTACTGGGAAACTAATCGTGCTCAGATTTCCTGTACACTTACTGAGTACAATAAGAAGCTGAGTCCGCATCTCAAGAGACTCGTCACTGTAATGCGTGCCTGGGGTGTATACACCGGCATCCTGCACGTCAACTGACCAGCGTCCTTCCTTCCAGGGATGTATTGAGACTTAGCTGAATCCTCGTCCCGTTCTCTGTATGTGTGTTGATACTTGTAGACAGAAGTTCATTTCCCCTCACAATGAACTGGACAGTGGAGTCAGTTGGCTTGAGTTTCTCCTTATGGTATGTTGTAGAATATATATTAAAATCCGTAAAGGACTGGTTGATACTCCAGGACATGTTGACGCTTTGTGACACGGGCGACAGTGTTGGTATGAGAAGCTGAAATTACATATTACAAACATAAGGACAGTATACAGTTGATTAAGTGAAAGGTACATGCAGAGATGCATGACCATACCAACAATGCCAGAACAAGATATATCAGACATCCACAGCTTTATATGTAAGAAGTGGAATCATTATCATTTCCTGTTATGGTGGTTTACCTTCTACTCACGAACTTGAGATAAACAATGGGTATCTTAGTAATACCCCTTTCGTTGTTCCGTACGTTCGTGTTTCGGATATATACACGTGGAGAGAGTTATTGCAACACTTATGATCGATAACGTCAAGCAACCATAGTTATCATCAATAAAAATAAATCAATTTTTCGTCATGTTTGCTTCTCTTAAAATACTACGGTTTTTCGTTTAATTAAATTTAATTTCACCATTCAATTATTTATTCCTTGAGAGTCAGTATATACAGATAGTACGTGTAATTAGGGTTTGGATAAGTTCATTTCATATGGTTCACGGCGACTTATTGATACTATGAATAGAGCATTAAAACATAACATTCACAACATACAAATATCACAAAACAGTAAAACACAACATTCACAACATACCACTGTAGCAAAACAGTAAAACACAACATTCACAACATACCACTGTAACAAAACAGTAAAACATAACATTCAAAACATACCACAGTAACAAAACAGTAAAACACAACATTCACAACATACCACTGTAACAAAACAGTAAAACACAACATTCACAACATACCACCGTAACAAAACAGTAAAACACAACATTCACAACATACCACTGTAACAAAACAGTAAAACACAGCATACCACTGTAACAAAACAGTAAAACACAACATGCCACTTGCATCCCAGGGCACATTGCTTTTTGCCCTCGAAAACAGTGAGGGGTAGATCCCCTATTTACCCACCGAAAAGATAGCTTTTTCCAAAAACATCGTGCAGTGGAACTGTAAAGGACTACAGACTAATTTCGATGAAATACAGCCATTAGTCCAGATTAACTCCATCGGCATTTTGTCTGCAGGAAACATATATAGACACGCAATTTTACCTTACGTCAGTTTAAAGCCCAATATTGTTTTTTCTCCTCCGGGTGAACGGACCTCGTGAGGATCTTCTATCCTTGTGGGGCAGGATCTTATACACAGCCCTGTTACACTCAAAACTAATCTCCAAGCTGTAGCAATAGTATCAAGATCAACAGTTTATCAAAGGTTCTAAATGACTCTTTTTGTGGATGATTTTAATATTTCTTGTCGCGGTAAAAAACTGCATACTATTGAACGGCAATTGCAGTTGTGTTTAAAAAAAAAAAAAATGGTGTCTTGAAAACGGCTTTGAATTATTTTCTAAATAGAAAACTAATTGTATTCATTTCTGCCGTAAATATAAACCGCATAAAGACCCAGAACTATCTTTAAATGGCTCTCCCATCAAAGTTGTTAAGGAGGTCAAGTTCTTGGGTCTAATCTTTTACTCACATTTAACGTTTCTGGCACACATTAAATCCCTTTGTAATAGGCGCTTAGCGCTTGAAAGATGTGAAAGAGACGCCCAGTGACAGCAGAACGATGCAGATGTGTGACAAGTGTCAGCTGGCTACTGAAGTAATATGCTTTGCGTTGTGTTTTATAATTGGTCTCTTTGCATGGATAGTATTTGTTGTCTGCAGGTTCTGTGTTAATGATTCCTGACAGGTTTTCCCAATTTAAATCCATTAAAGTCACAACTAAAAGAGTATTACGTTTCCATACTTGTTTATTCAAAAATGTGTAAGGAAGTTAGATCAAAACAAACTAGTGGCTAACGAACAAACAGACGTGTATGTTTAGTACATGGAGTATCATTCTTATACAGTCTTACTGGCAGCGAGTGTATGTACCCCTACATCGAGTTAACGCTCGAGCCGTGTTTGTCTAGTACATGGAGTATCATTCTTATACAGTCTTACTGGCAGCGAGTGTATGTACCCCTACATCGAGTTAACGCTCGAGCCGTGTATGTCTAGTACATGGAGTAACATTCACAGATAGTCTTACTGGCAGCGAGTGTATGTACCCCTACATCAACTTAACACTCGAGCCATGTGTGTCTAGTACATGGAGTATCATTCACAGGCAGTCTTACTGGCAGCGAGTGTATGTACCCCTACATCGAGTTAACGCTCGAGCCGTGTATGTCTCGTATATTGAGTATCATTCATATACAGTTTTAACGGCATCGAGTGTATGTACCCCTACATCGACTTAACGCTCGAGCTGTGTATGTCTGTCTAGTATATGGAGTATCATTCTCAGATAGTCTTACTGCCAGCGAGTGTATGTTTCCCTATATCGAGTTAATGCTCGAGCCGTGTACGTCTGTCTAGTACATGGAGTATCATTCTCAGATAGTCTTACTGGCAGCAAGTGTATGTACCCCTACATCGAGTTAACGCTCGAGCCGTGTATGTCTGTCTAGTACTTGGAGTATCATTCACAGGCAGTCTTATTGGAAGCGAGCGTATGTAACCCTCCATTTAGTTAACGCTCAAGCCGTGTATCTCTTGCCCATGGAGTATCCTTAAGATACTCTCTTTCTGGCAGCGAGTGTATGTACCCCTACATCGTGTTTACGGACGAGCTGTGTATTTGCCTAGTACATGGAGTATTATTCTTATACAGTCTTACTGGCAGAGAGTATATGCACCCCTACATCGTGTTAACGCTCGAGCCGTGTATGTCTAGTACATGGAGTATCATTCACAGGCACTCTTACTGGCAGCGAGTGTATGTACCCCTACATCGAGTTTACGCTCGAGCCATGTGTGTCTTGTACATGGAGTATCATTCACAGATAGTCTTACTGGCAGCGAGTGTATGTACCCCTACATCGAGTTAACGCTCGAGCCGTGTTTGTCTAGTACATGGAGTATCATTCACAGGCACTCTTACTTGCAGCGAGTATATGCACCCCTACATCGTGTTAACGCTCGAGCCGTGTATGTCTAGTACATGGAGTATCATTCATATACAGTCTTACTGTCAGCGAGTGTATGTACCCCTACATCGTGTTAACGCTCGAGCCGTGTATGTCTAGTACATGGAGTATCATTCACAGGCACTCTTACTTGCAGCGAGTGTATGTACCCCTACATCGAGTTAACGCTCGAGCCGTGTTTGTCTAGTACATGGATTATCATTCATATACAGTCTTACTTGCAGCGAGTGTATGAGATCACTTCTGACAAAAGACTCTGTAAAGCTTTATTTCATGAATAAACCCTTGTCAGGCCCTTATCTCTCTCCGCTAGAGTGCACACCACTTTTGAATCCCCAGCCAACTTCCAGGTCACTATGACCGCGAATCGGCACTTTCCTGGTCGCGTGGCCTATGGCTCAAGCCAACAGTTCCTGGTCACGTGCACTATTGTGATCACTCAACATGGAGGTAAGTGTTGTTTGTCCTAGCAATGAATTTTCACATCAATAAACTATATTATGTTGATCTCAGCGAAACAATTTAATGTGAATATCCTATGATTTCTTTGGTTTTCGTAAAGAAAGCTTGTTGGGCTTGTTGTATCCCTTGTTCTATGTACTTTTTTTTCTCGTCTTCACTGATGGCAGTGCTTTTACGAGACTTGGACCGAATCTCTTGTTTCATTCTGTGATATTTTGCGAGTTCAGAGAGGACCAAACGAAATTCTTCCTCTGAGATTTTACTGTCAGTGAGTGCGGTGGAAATACGGTCGTCTATGGTGTTTAACTTTGCTTCGGCTAGAATTCTAATTTCGTCGTGTTTCAATGCTTAATGCTTTGTAATCTACGGGATGCAAACTTAAACACCAACCCCACCAGCCCTGACACCCCAGCTGTTATTAAATGCCCAGCACTATGGGTGCGGCTACGATGGTGGTCAACAAACCGACACCTACTGCTCCTAATCCCATGCTGGTTGCCATAAGGGTGGTATCAGTCCCATCCACGAAATTGAAAGCTTTATGGTATTTCATACATAATGCTGTCCGTATGTCTCGATCTTGTTCTTGTTGACGTTTTATGTCGCATAACTGTCTCAAACGAAACCCGTCTACGGTTTCCATTGTTTTTGCTACTTCTTCTACGACTGGGTACAGCCTCATCCTGTGTTTGTGTATTATATATTATAAGATAAAATTTAATTGGTTTTTCGTTACTCTATGTACTAGACAGACATACAGAGCTCGAGCTTTAACTCGATGTAGGGGTACATACACTCGCTGCCAGTAAGACTTTATATGAATGATACTCCATGTACTAGGCATACACGGCTCGAGCGTTAACTCGATGTAGGGGTACATACACTCGCTGCCAGTAAGACTGCCTGTGAATGATACTTCATGCACTAGACATACACGGCTCGAGCGTTAACTCGATGTAGGGGTACATACACTCGCTGCAAGTAAGACTGTATATGAATGATACTACATGTACTAGACATACACGGCTCGAGCGTTAACTCGATGTAGGGGTACATGCACTCGCTGCCAGTAAGACTGTATATGAATGATACTCCATGTACTAGACATATACGGCTCGAGCGTTAACTCGATGTAGGGGTACATGCACTCGCTGCCAGTAAGACTGTCTGTGAATGATACTCCATGTACTAGACATACACGGCTCGAGCGTTAACTTGATGTAGGGGTACATACACTCGCTGCCAGTAAGACTATCTGTGAATGATACTCCATACTAGACACACACGGCTCGAGCGTTAACTCGATGTAGGGGTACATACACTCGCTGCCAGTAAGACTATGTATTAACTTCGTGGTCAACTATTGACGCGTCTGAGGAGTCTATTCTACTTAAACCTAAATTCTTAACCGGTTTCGCCATTCGGAATATCGCAACTGGTTTCAGTATAATAAGCGCCGTAAAAGCACGTGCATATTGCTTCACGCTTCGAAATGTTGACGTGTAAATTCCTATTGACGCTATATAAAACTCACAAACCATACTTTTCATCCATACGCACGAGTGACTGCACGGTGAAAGGTACGAAGGTAGCAATGACTGATGATAGTGATGATAACTTATTTTTGACGCAGAGCAGGTTTTTGCAAAATGCATTTACGGAAAGTGACATTAACTCAGACTTTGAACATCTTCTTGAAAGTGAAATTTCTAATATAGACTTTGTTGTGTGAGTGGAAGATGACTTTGAGCAAAATAATTCTTCGGATGAAGAAGTATTACGTGCAACACAAAACTTTGAAAAAGCGCAAGAACACCTTCCTGAAAAGATCTTAAATAAAGAATCTGAGTCCCGATTCGGCACACCTCTAACTGTTGAGGAAATCACCAATTTGGAAAGGTTGGCTAAAAATAAACATACGGAAAAGAAAAGACACTGGGCTGTACGGGTTTTTAATGCATGGTATCAGGAAAGGAAAGGTGTCAGTGGTGGTCTGGGACGGTGTCTCCTGAATCTCAGTGATGATGATTTCTGTCGACATCTAGTTTCCTTTATAACGGAAGTCAAGAATCAGAAAGGGGAGGAATATCATGGGAACACCATCAATAAAATTCTTAGCTCAATTTAGTAAATTCCTAAGACAAAACGACAAAGACATAAACATTTTTAGTGATTTTGAATTTGCTGCTGTTCGCCGAATTTTGGATGCAAAAATGAAAGCCTGTTACTACGTAAATTGTAATAAAAACGTAAATTGTAATAAGAAATTGACGTAAATTGTAATACGCAAATTGTAATAAAAATTGACGTAAATTGTAATAATTTTCGTTGCGGTAAAATGTAATAAATATTTACGTAAATTGTAATAACAGTTTTAATCACTCGTAAATACGCGGGTGTTTGTTTTTCGTTGCATTTCATTCATCAAATAAACTTGTTAGGGCGATAACTCAAGAAAGAAATGATGGATTTTGTTCAAATTTGGTACCAAGGTATATTGCGAGATTCACCGACACAAGTGAAATGGAGTGACCTTGAGATAATTTTCAAGGTCACAGCAAAAATCTGAGGGTTTTGCCAATATAAAGATTGTTAGCGCGATAACCCAAGAAAGAACTGTCAAATCTGAGCCAAATGACGAAAATGATATTCGTCCTGATATATAATCGATATAAAATCTCTTTCTGTCCTCTGTATCATGTCTTTTCGCAAATATCTTTTAAGGTTTTGATATGTATAAATATAAAGTGGGGTGGGGTGGGGGTGGGTTTCTAACGGGTATATCAAATCAAATTAGACATTTGTATAGCGCTGCATATCCTGCTCATGTGCGCTTAGTCGAATGCTCGTTTGAAGAGGATGGTTTTGCGACAAGATCGGAAACTGTTGATATTTTCCGTTTTCTGACATTTTCAGGTAATCAATTCCAGAGTACAGCACCCGGTCCGCTAAATGATCTCTCTCCGTATGTTGTGGTTCGGACAAATGGAATAGCCTAGCTGACTAGCAATGAAATGCATCACAAATTAAACTTCAAGAAACAAAATATGCAAGAAACATTTTTGTATGTTTGAGATTGGTAGAGGTCGGCTAGAATCAAACTTAGATATTAAACTGCACAAAAAGGCAATTTGAAACTACAATCGCTTGGTCAAATGATTCCCCGTTCGGTTTACTGAAAGAACTCGAGAAAGAAATGATGGATTTTGTTCAAATTTGGTACCAAGATTATTGATAAGATTTACCGACACCACTTGAATTTAGTGACCTTGAGGTCATTTTAAAGGTCACAGCGAAGGTGTAACAGTTTTGCACATGCCAAGCTTGGTAGCCGCGAACTTAGGAAAGAATTAATAGATTTTGATCCAATTTTATATCAAGGTGTATTGGCAGGAATCCCCCTACACCAATTGAAACACAATATGCAAAAAACATGTTGTATGTTGGTAAAAGTCAAACATAGATATTAAACTGCACAAAAAAGCAATTTTAAACTATAATCGCTTGTTCAAGTGACTCCCCCTTCATGTTTACTGAAAGGGCTTGTTTTGGAGACAGTACCCACCCCCTTTCAGTTGACGTCATCATAAGGATATAACTCATCCTAAAGTTTTCACTTATTCATACATAGTGTCAAGGGTTCAAACTAAATACTGAATGGTCACACAAGTGTCAGCTCTCAATATGTTGTATATTTGGACACAATGTTTTTGAAAATTTAACGTGAGGGTGTCCTAAAAAAAACAGTCCCCGTCTAAATGTAAATCAAGCAATCCAAATCTTTGAATGTTGATGATGACGGGAAGTCATCCAATACTATGCTGAACATATTTTATATGATACTATCTGAGGGTATACCATTATCCAAGAGATAGAGCAATAGTGCAGTTGTAAGGCGTCTGCCTATCACGCTGAAGGCCCTGTTTCGAGGAGGCACCGAGGTTCGGTTCCCGAGATGGGCACATTTGCGTAGTATCCTTGGACAAGATACTTAGATCTACACTGTCTCAGTTCACCCAGCTGTAAAATGGGTACCCGTGAGTATGTGCTGGCAATGTGAGTGTTTAGTTCATTGCGCCTAATATGCAGCATGGCTGTACAGTCCCCAGGGAGTTGAAAAAGTATCGGAAACTACGATAGTGTCCTATGATCGGGGATAGTAATGTACGTAGCGCCGTGAGCAGGCAATGTGCCTGGATGTGAGCGCCATATAAGCGGACTATTACTATTACTAGATACCAAATGGGAGATCGTTTTCCATTTTCTGCAAATTTGCAAGAAACATAATACCCCAATGTTGTGATGTCTAATATCTCGTTAACCACATTACCCACATGAAATTTTGGATATGACTTTGCTAATGATTCCTTCAAAATAAAATGGAAGCTTCTTTTCAAACATTGGACATCGAGAATATAGTTAGTTTGACTACTTTTTCAACACCCCTCGTAACATACTTAAAAGAAATGAGAACGTCTAAAAAAGCATTTCGATCTCTGAATACTTCTGAGCTATTTAAATACAAAAAGCAAAGGAATAAAGTAAATAATCTGAAAAGAATAGCTAAGGGAAACTTTTATTCTAATTTTGATAACTATTTATCACCTCAGTCTACTCAATCAGGTGGTTAGTACTTCATCGGGGCCCACTCCCCTTCTTGTCACTGATGATTCTGGGATACCTTCAGTTTTTACAGATTTGGATAAAGCTCAAACATTAAATGAATATTTTGTATTTGTTTCAAATGTTACTGATGGCGGCAAGACTTTGCCACCTGTTAGCCATCGCTGTGTTAACAGTATTACAAATGTCATTAACACGTCACAATTTATTTCTGGACTCACAAAAGTCCAGAAACTCTCCGCACTGTGGGTACTTTTTGACAAGTGATTTGACCAAATTAAACATGCAGTTGTTATGAATATATGCCAAGGATGAAAAAATGAAAAAAAAAATTTGCGAAAACTTTAGATTTAAACTCGCTCGCCCATGGGCCGGCCCACGGGCGAGAATGTTTAAGCTTGCTGAGAATTCATGTTTTGGAGTTGTAAATGAATGAGCGTATGTTTATAAGCATCATGACGCAAAATTCAACTCATTTTAACTTAATTCGACTAACTTAGAGCGATATTAAAAAATCTCGCCCATGGGCGAAAAATATGTTGGTCCATGGGGCGAGAATGTTTAATTTCGCTCAGAATTCATGTTTTGGAGGTTGTAAATGAATGAGTGTATGTTTATAAGCATCATGACACAAATTTCAGCTCATTTTGACTTAATTCGACTAAGTTAGAACGATATTAAAAACTCTCGCCCATCAAATTATATATTCTGTGAGACATGAAATGAAAAATAGTGAAACAAACGATTTTTCGTAATGTTGCATTGCTGTACCTTTACCCGTCGGAGAAGTCCTTCTCAAAAGATATATATTCCGTTGTTTGGAGCAGGCCTATATGACTATTACGCCCCAGTGCTGCTAAACAACTCGTAGACCTTTAGTCTAACATAGACGCAGACCTTGCATGTTCAAGTTCACATCTGATAGGGGCCTAATAAATTGAATCCGACATGAATGCAATATCTCATTGGGTTATTGTTTTCCTAAGTAAGTGGAGTGTCTTCTACAACATTGGAGACAAGTGTATCGCTGTCCTTCTGATATTCCCCCGAACGGAAGCTCTACCCATTTTAGGTACAATGTGCATGTTACAGAATAGTAGGGAATAGTCTTAAGACGTTTCAACTTTGACCAGGATTCTCCGAACTTGTAACAGTCGCTTGAGAGATCAAAAGAGAAAGGGGTAGTGCGCGATGTATCTGACGGACGTATGTGGAGAACGTTTGAAGAATGTTACTGTATAAATACAATAATTGAAATACCAGTTATGTTTAAAAAGTACCCTCAATCTGATAGCCAGAGAGATTATTGTGAAAGATCGCAGTATTTATCTTCATAAACGGGCCAAGATAAAAGTACATGCCATTCATCCCCATATTATATCCCTTCTATATACAAGGGACATCGTTGTTACAGGTAGGGCAAACACTTTCTTCTATAGGTATCTGCCGGTTTCACGCTACATACATGTATTCAGATTATTGAGAAAACTAGCGACGCAAGATCTCCTCCATCACACATATAATTGTATACATACCCAGTGATTAGTGATAGCGTTGAAGCAACTTATTAAAATTTACGACAGACACTATCAGCTGCAGTAGTACTGCCATACCTAGCATCGTATTTATTACTCTCTTACATAAGGTGAAATATCACAGGGTTGTCATGGTAACGATAATTTGGCATACTATTTATTGTCTTACTCTTTAATCAGCGATTAGAATAATTTAAATCAGTTTTGAGGTCAGCATGTTAAGAGAAAAGAAGTTGTAAAACGAAAAGTATTGTGATCGAATCTATTGGCCTTTGTAAAAGCAAGTTTCAAGCCACCTACATAAAAACCTGTTTTCATGATAAATATCTGCTAATCCGTGGCAGGATTCCGACCATATCAAGAGCATGTGTTTGTGAATCATAATCAAATAGTGATGTTACAAGGCGTCCATGCCGCGTCAACAACACATGCAAAGCACGAGAATTGCAATACGAGCCCCTACACCAATGATTCGCCGTGACCTGGAGACACTTGTGATTGAGCGTATGTATATTTTCCAGTTTCAACCAAATGTACATTAGAGGATATCGAAATCTAGTTAAGCTATTTGAATCATATTTACAATTAAAAGACCCAAACAATGGTGTGTTGTCCAAATTGTTGGTTTTCGATACCTTGTCCCAGTCTGTATCACAGTCACAGACCGATATTATTTGCCCTTCTGTCCAACCCTTACTGTAATATGCATACTGCAATACTGTATATGTTGCACATATACTACACAACGTATTATGTATGTAGTCAATGCTGTGCTAAGCAACGTCCACTCGTATTCAAGATTACACCTGAGTCAGAGATGCAAACAAATGTGTATTCGTATGTGCATTTTAATGAAATGAAGAACCAAGCAAGCAAAATCATAGTATGCATAAAAATCAAGTTGGTACACTGGGACTCGTTATCATCGGAGGAAGCTCACAGTTTACTTGTATGGACGATCTATTATAAGTACGTGTTGTCTGTCTGTAGTAGACAGAACCGTTACATAGGATGTAGAGCACGGATACACTGCTCGTGCATCCCACACACTCACGTGCACATGCTTCACAACATTCGCAGCGCGTTCACCGTTAACATCTGGCGGTGTGTTGCGACTAGAACTGGGATACGACCAGAACTGGGAAAACTAAGATGGAGAATTATACGTCTTACTGTCAACTATGTATTTAACCGACAAACAATTATTAAGATCAAAATCAGCTGCACAACTCGTGTCCTTTATTTTAACTACCGATTGCCAAAAATGCCAATGGCAGCGCTCCATAGTCGATGTCCGCCATAATAGCTAAATATAGCAGCGCAGAAAATGTAGAAACGTGAAACTGAAACGAAATAGAATTCATTTTCATGCGCTTTACTGTAATTACTCTACTAGCTCAAAAATAAGTGAGCGACCAATTAATGTTCCTGGTTGTGGATGCTGAATTTAGGTGTCAGGTGTTTTTCATTCATTTTTTATTCATAATGATTCATTCATTCCCAGAAATGGTTACTGCTCAACTTGAAATATGACTTTCTTGCAATATCTAATGATATTTTAAAATATAGCTAATTATTCCTTTTAACAATATATGTTTATGCCCACAAATAGAACCAGAAAATATATGATGTGAATGGTATTGGATTTTGATTTTATAGTTTAATAATTATGCTAATATGTGTAAAAATATAGTAAGTTGTATCTAAATATCGGCAAGCCTGGCCATTTTTGCACAGTGTTTTATGTAATAATACAGTAAATAGTTTCTTTTAAAAAAGAACGGGGAATAAAAGAAAATTAAATTATGTCATAATTATTTTTTAATGATGTTACATCCATTCTTGATGGGTATGTATGTATAACAATTCAAGTTTGTTTTGGGGATTTAAGTTATTTGTGTTATGCCATTTGTGAGAGTATATAAGAGATTGGTATGTTGCTTGGTCATACTTTTCAGAGAATATTTCTTATGAAATACTCGAAAAATATACAGGTTCATGTACACATTCATGACACTGTAAAAAGAGTGGTGATCTATTATTTATAATGGTAGGGTGTATTCAGTAACACGCCATCACACATAATACTATGCTGATAATGCTGAGTGAATGGTCCAGTTAAAGTTCTCATCCCCAAATGTTCACATGGCCCCCTAAGCAGTTAGTGGCTCCCTATTTTTATAACATGTTTAGCCTCCAAGTAATGTTATGTTAATATTACTGCTATTAGCATATAAGATTTGCCAGTAATGATCATTTATAGCTTTCATCATTATTGTGTACATGGAAACTGTTTGTAACAGACACCAGACATACAAGGCATAA